CTTCCCTTGAGAAATCTGGCTTTTCCAAGGGTAGCCCATTATCCATCCACAGTGCCATTCCAATTATTTTCTTCTCTCCTCATGCCCCCACCTCATCAAAACCCCTCAGTGAGTTAACCTGCCTCATACTTTTCAAAGGAAATTTAGTTTTTCCTACATGCATGTCCTGTGTCCCACTCTCAACCATCCTCAGCTCCCTCCTTCCAGTTCAGGAAACACTGTTCCCTTCTGTTTGCCCCCTTTCCAATCTATTACTTTCTCCTCTTGGACTTCACATCACAATTCTCCCACCAATGTTTCTACTTCTCTTTGTTGGCAGCTTAAAACTCTGCTCAGGCATCTCCCATCTTAAAAACAAAGAAATAAATAAAAACAAAACTCTCCCTCATGTATACCTCGTGTTTAAAGTGGTTATCTCTGAGAGATTATGAAGATGTATTATTTTATTTGAAGTCTCTAGGTATTTTCCTCCCTTTCTCTTGTGTTTAAGTGTACATATTACTTTCATAAATGATGTTGGGAGGGAACCCTTCAGGTATTTATAGCTTAATCTCTCACCATCACTTCTCAGCTACACTTCAAAAGAGCTGACCATGGCTCCACAACCCTTCAGTTCATACCATTCATTCTTTCAGCTGGTTCTCCCAATCTTTCCATTGGAAATGCTCATGGAAAGGGCACCAGTGACCTCAAAACCCAACTCAGGTTGCTGGCTGAACATTGCTGGAGTATAAAATATAAAATGAACACCCGTGAACCAATGTCCCAACCTAAGATCTATAACATTACCTTTGCATCTGTACCTGTCCGTGTGCTTCTTCCCTACCCTATTCCACTGCGCGCCTCCCCCAGAAGTAAGCAATGTTCCAAATTTTGTGTTCATCAAACCCTTATTGTATATAGTTTAGCACATGTCTATCTGTTTCCATCAACAATTTATTTGGTTTTGCTTCTGTTTGAACCTTATCTGGGGGCGTTATTGTTATTAGTCTCTCTATACCTTATGAATGTTTTATAATTCTTTTTGTATTTACTCAGTATTTAACAATAAAAATCATTACAACAAAAAATAAGCTCCCTAGGTGATTCTGGTGGATTGGCATTTAGAAATTACAGCTATTTTCTACTGCCCTAACTGTCATACCTTTTCCCTATTCTGTTCCATTGCTATTCAAACTCCTGCCTTCCTCACTTACCTGGACCACTATAGGTAGTCTCCTTGTATCTCTTCTCCATGCTGGCTGGCACAAGGCTCTAATATGCATTTTTCCTGCTTAAGTCTTTCAGTGGCTCCCACTACCTTAAAATGAAATCCAAACTCCAAAGTATGGCATACAAGGCCTCCCATGATCTAGCCCCTGCTTACCCTTCTTTTTCTTTTGCCACTCAACCTTCACCTTCAAGCTGCCTTTCTTGCAGTTCCATGAAGAGACCTATCTCTTAGCCATTGTACATGTTCCCTCTACCTGGAATACCTTTTCTCCTTCACCCTTTGTCTGTCAGGCGAACACCAACTAATTCATCTTTCAGGAATGACCTGCAAGCTCTCCTCCTGAACCCTTCCTCATCCCCAGTCCCCTTTCCTGTTTATAACCTAGCTAGAGCATTTGGTTGGTTTGTCGTGTCTGTCTGCCTCTAGCAGATGAACTTGAAGACAGGGACAACAAGGTCTTAGTTTTTTTATCCCTAGTGTCTAAACACAAAGCCTGGCATGTAGTAAGCATTGAGTTAACGGTTGTCAAATGAACACATGGATACTCGAAGCCGAAGTTTATGTTGACCCCTGAGGAAAAGCCAAAGCCTCCTCAGCTGGGCTGTCTTCTCCCAACTCCTGCAGTATTCCCCAGTCTTCCTACCCCCACTTGTGCCTGCACACACGCTGTGGTTAACTAGGGCAGCTCTGCCTCAGCCCCACCTCCCTGTGCTCCTCAGGTCTTTCACAGAGACCATGAGCTCCCTGTCCCCTGGAAAGCCGTGGCAGACCAAGCTGAGCAGTGCGGGACTCATCTATCTGCACTTCGGGCACAAGCTGCTGGCCCAGTTGCTGGGCACTAGCGAAGAGGACAACATGGTGGGCACCCTCTATGACAAGGTGGGGACCCAAAAACAGAGATGCCCCATACATGCATCTCCACCAAGCCTGCTGGGAGTGGCACTCACGTAGCGCTCAGGACTGGGCCTCAGGTTAGGGATTCCTGGCCCACAGCTAGCCTACCACCATCTTCCTCAGGCTCATCTTGGTTAATCTACCTCCATCCTGGGGTGGTGGTGAGAAGTGGATGAGGTAACATGGGGAAGGGCTTTGAAAACCATATAGCAGTGCTTCCCAGTCTTTTTCTTGAGCGGACACACTAAAAAATGATTGTTCAACAACTTGGTAATAGAGGAGGCTGCTTATGTTTGGAAGCATATGGTTCAGAGGTTCTGGATGCCCTGAAAGGGAAGGGGAGTATATCTCAGGCACCACTATAATTCACCAGATGCACACAAGTTGGGAAGCTTGGCTGGAAAGGGTCTGATTATGAAAATACCTTTAGGTTCCACCAGCATCCCCTGAAAGCAGCTCACAGCGTTCCTGCTGTTGGAGAAGGAGCAGGGCTAGTAGCCCTGGCGTGCATGTTGGATCACACAGTGACTCTGAGGACACCTTGATCCTACTCTTGTAAAGTTCACAAGTCAAACTTCGGATTTGGTCAGCTCTATTTTTTGCATATAGCCTGTTGAGTTCACTTCTTTATCTCTCAGCTTACCTGTCTTGTGCCCCTGTGACTCAGCATTAATATGATCCAAAAAAGTGAAGAAATGTGAATGGTTAACTTGGAGCTTTTGGAATACTAAGGTTGTAAGACTGCCTGGGCCAGTTTCCCCCTCTGCTGAGGGGTTTCTAAGCAGTTGAGCTAAATTACACCCAAGTTTTAACTGAGTTATCAGGTTGGGATCCAGACCAAGAGGTACTGCGCTAGGCGCTTCTTTTTCGGCTCTCCCTGAGAGGAGCACTTTTTCCACATACCACAGATGTGTTGATATGTAGGCCTATTTTGTACGGCAATTTTGCATTAAACACAGCTATCCTATATCGTTTCTACCCCCAAAACTTTTGAGGCGTTGTCCCACCATCTCGTTAGGCTCAGGAGACGCAGCAACTGCTGGTGCCATGTGGCACGTGGTGGGTTTTTCTCTGGGGTCGCATGCCAGTGCTTGGTGTCTAACCAGCACCCATTCTCCCACCTGACTAGTGTGCTTGGCTAGGTCCTCCTGGACCTCATTAACTGGGTCACTGAATAGCCTCCTTAGCCCCTCTGGCTATTTACCCTCCCTCAGCCATAGGGGTCCACTCACAGAGCCCCTCATGGGATTCGAGACCTTTGTTCAGAAGTCAGCAGCCCCCACCCCACAAAAGCTGGCCTTGGCTCGGGTGGTACTAGAGTGAACACTGGATTAGAAATCAGATGATCTGAATTCCAGCCCTGCCACGATTGGCGCTCTGACCTTAAGCACTCCCTAGCTAATTCCCACTTTCCTCCTCCAGTTGATGTTGAGATTCTCACAGGGCTATTGTGAAGACTAAAGGAAAGCATGTGTGTGAAACCTGTAAAACCATGCAAATGGTAGGTACCCCCCAGCGTTTCTCCTGCTGTCGCCTTAGATGTATGAGAACTTCGTGGAGGAAGTGGATGCAGTGGACAATGGGATTTCCCAGTGGGAGGGAGAGCCTCGATATGCGCTGACCACTACTCTGAGTGCCCGAGTTGCCCGGCTTAATCCCACCTGGAACCAGCCCAACCAAGATACGGAGGTAAGGAGGGCTCCAGGGGAAGAGACTATGTGGCATAGAAGAACCTCGGAAGGAAATGAGAGTGGTTACCCCCCCAAATCCTAGCAAAGTCAAAAGTTTGGGCCAGCACCATTCTGATTCCCAGGCTGGGTTCAAACGTGCAATGGATCTGGTTCGAGAGGAGTTTCTGCAGAGACTAGACTTCTACCAGCACAGCTGGCTGCCAGCCCGGACCTTGGTAGAAGAAGCCCTAGCCCAGCGATTCCAGGTACAGGCCTGGGAGGAGACATTGTGGTTCAGTCAGGGGTTAGTGACTGCTGGCAGGCTGCTGGTCAACAAGGGCTCCTGCTTCCACCCTAAACCTTCTGGCCATGCCCCACTTCGCTTTCAGGTGGACCTAAGTGGGGAGATAATAGAACTGGCAAAAGGTGGATGCCCCTGGAAGGAGCACCTTTACCACCTGGAATCTGGGCTGTCGCCCCCAGCAACCATCGCCTTTGTTATCTACACTGACCTGGCTGGACAGTGGCGGGTGCAGTGTGTGCCCAAGGAGCTCCATTCATTCCAGAGCAGGTGAGGCCCTAGGTGACCGCCCTGTTGCAGCCTTATCAGAGGCAGCCTTGGCCTCTTGCTCTGCTCCCTCTCTCAGTACTTCAAGGTTTCTATTTGCTCCAACCAACTCCCTCTTTCTACTCATTTGTAGGCTGCCCCTGCTAGAGCCATGGCGAGGTCTTCGGGATGAGGCTCTGGACCAGGTCAGTGGGATTCCTGGCTGCATCTTTGTTCATGCCAGTGGCTTCATTGGTGGGCATTGCACCCGAGAGGGTGCCTTGAGCATGGCTCGTGCCACCTTGGCCCAGCGCCCAGCACCTATGTCTCCCACAAATCCCCTTGTCCAATAAAACTTTTTCCATCTCATACTGACCAAGTCCTTGCCACATATATTGCCCTGCATCATTCTTGGAACTTGCTGAAACTTGGGACAAGTTAAACGTTTACTATGTGTCACAGCCTATACTAGACCTTCAGGCCTATTGGTATTTTCTCAGCTTTGCTTTCCTAGTCATTTGAAAACCATCCAGTTCCTAAGGGTAGCTAACTTGGCCAAATTCATAAGAAGTGGCTAAAAAGTGACAGAACCAGATCTTAACCCAAAGCCCGTGACTTATTTTTTCTCTTCATTACACCCCAGTGCAACTCCCTTGAAGAGAGTCTCGTAATTGACTGGAAGACAAAGAATGAAATTTTTTATTATTAGAAGTGGGAGTGAGACGGTGGCCCTGGCAGAGGGTCCCAAGGAGCAGAGGTTGGGGATGTCTCAGTAAAGAGGGGCAGATCATGAAGAGAACCTCCGCCCCCAATAGGGGGCTCTTGGGTTCGGCCAAGCACTGGGCTAAAACGTGGAAACTGGACATTGACAAAGTACAGAGGGATGTGGGCAATTCGGCCGGTGGACCAGCACTGCAGAGGGGAAAGAAAAATCTATCAGACTGGGCTCAGAGAAGGCCATAATGCACAGCCACACAGCAGCCAAGGCCCTCAGCTCCTCCATCCCACTCCCAAAAACCCCAGCAGCCTGGCCTACTCACCACACTGAGCAGAGCCCCTTTGTTGAAGGAAGGATGGAAAGTGATGAGCTGGGCCTGGGCTTCTGGCTCCCCCTGGATAATACCACTAGGGAAAGAAGAAAAGGTAAGCAGGCAGCCAGAGGCAGGTGTGGTGGGATGCAGATTTAGTGTGGGAAGGCTGATGAGGAGCCCAGACCTAATGGCCTGCCCAGCACTTACCAAGGAAGTAATTCAAACACGGGGCTGTTTCGAGTGCGAAAAAGGAGGATGACTGGCTTACCATCCTGGACCCGTGGATTTCCTATAAGAAATGGATTCAGGGACAGGAAGGAACTCTGGAGGCAGAATCCCAGGGCAGGGGCACATAAGAACTTCAGCCAGGGCATGGACACACTCGATTAATGGGAATAGATGGCTGTGGCCTGAGCAAAGTCGTTCCTCCCCACCTCTTACCTTTCATGAGCACAGCCAGACGCTCCCCGCTGGGGTCCCAGGCCATGGAGTGAGCCTCTCCCCCAAGTCTATGGGTCAGAACAGTAGGTTGGGAGGGCTCAGCATGGTCCCTCCCACCTTCCTTTCACTGCCTCTCCCTCACCCACTCACCTTTCCTCTCCATCTGGCGTCTGTATTGTTGTCTCAGACAGGTCTGCCACAATCGTTGCTGATTTCGCACCTCCAACGCGCCCCTTTCCTTCACCTGTGGATAAGGACAGATGCGCTTTTTTTTTTTTTTAAAGATTTTATTGGGGAATTGGGGGAATGGGAACAGTGCTGGGGAATCGGGGGAAGGGGAACAGACAAGTTGCTGTCTTTTTGTTCTTCAGTCTAGTTGTGGAGGATGTTGCTTCACTGGCCCAAGTTGGCACCATCATTGTGC